GGCTAAATCACATCCTATGACTCAAAATACCTCCCAATGGAGGTAAACAGAGTTGCTAGGATACACTGAATATTTATTTCAACATTAAAATGGGACAAATTCACAAGTTTTGGTTATACAACGGAATTATCGATAGTAAACTTTGCATTGTTTCGTGGTTATACACTTGGTCAAAAATATGAGTTTTTCTACAATCCAACATAGTCCTTTAAAGAAAGAAGGCACAGGCTTATTGTTCAGTTCTCTTTATTCGTGTTGCCAAAAGTGCCTTCCATGTATCGCATTCTAGTACCATGTATCGCATTCTAGTACTATTTGCTGAAGGTAAAAAAAAAGATAAGAGTTTTGCCGTGGCTCACAAAACCCTATCATTGATATCAATGATTAGTGATGTGTGTCATTATATATGGGAAGCATTTCCTTATGTTATTTCACCAACTTTAGTTTTTGCATATTATTATGCTCATTATCAGTATATACGTTGTTACATTTTTACATTATATCTTAACCAATTTTGCATTACTTGAATATCCTGTACTAGAATACGTTTTAACAAAATCAGAGGATGTTCAAAGTCAAGATTGATGTAACAGTTTCTATATAATTTGAAATATTTTTGTACCAGCAACAGTTACCTCTCTTTATATTCTGCTTTCGTGAAATTGGCTCCGCCTATTAATTTTCGTCTATTTCCGTGATAATTCCATATATGGAAGTTGCAAAATCGTTTACAAATGTTAATCGCGTTAGAATGTAAAAGGAAAGTGTGGTGTTGTAAACCTGAGTGTGTCAAGTTGATGCAGTTACATTCTCAACGTCATGATGCACAGCTTACATTTCTACATGTCGCAAATTTGAAATTATACATTTATTTATACAGTTTGCAATTTATCTAAGTTGCATGTTAACAGCTTTCATTTTATCAAATCGAGATAATCAAAATACTTAATACCAGTGCAGTATGTAACTCTCAGATCGACAATTAGATTTTTACTAATCTGTTTAGTAGAACCGAAGTATGCATTGTCAAGTTTCAAAGGCTGGATTTTTGGCAACGAATAGCCTCTATAGACTAATGCATGTGAGTTAGCTAGGGTTAATTTAAAATCAACACAAAGTAAAATGAAATCAAGGTATGATGAGAATGCTCAGGAAAGAAGTTTTAACCCTGGTGATAGAGTACTTGCTCTTTTACCTATACCTGGAAAACCATTACAGGCAAGATACTTTGGTCCTTATACTATTGAAAAGAAAGTCAGTGACCTTAATTATATTATTAATACTCCTGGGAGGCGAAAGCAAAAACAAATGTGTCACATAAATATGTTAAAAGAATATTTTGACAGAGATAGCAAAATTAGTAAACCTATATCTTTTGTAAACTCTGTTCCACAAAATCAATGTTCAGTTGAATCTAATAGTTATGAAAATTTTGAAAAGTCTGATCCTGGTTCAGCAAAGCTTGAAAACTCTGATATTCTGAAAAATCTGGATGAAAAACTTGCTCACTTAGAACCGTCGAAACGAGATGAACTGAAACAGCTTATTTATGAATATGAACATTTATTTCCTGATATTCCCACACGGACTGATAAAATACATCATGACGTCATTCTTGAAAACTCTGAACCAATAAAACAACATCCATATAGAACGAATCCTGTAAAACAAAAATACCTAAGACAAGAAGTTCAGTATTTATTGGATAATGACTTTATTGAACCAAGTCAAAGCAGTTACAGCTCTCCATGTATTCTTGTACCAAAATCAAATGGAACATATAGAATGTGTACAGATTATCGTAAAGTGAACTCTGTAACAAAAACTGATTCATTTCCTATACCAAGAATTGATGACTGTATTGACAAAATTGGAAAAGCAAAGTATGTAACAAAGTTTGATCTTCTAAAAGGATTCTGGCAAGTTCCACTTACTGATAGAGCTAAAGAAATATCAGCCTTTGTAACACCAGACGGCTTATATCAATATAAAGTCATGCCATTTGGTATGAAAAACTCACCAGCAACTTTTCAGAGGCTTATAAACATGGTAATATCTGGTCTACACGGATGTGACGCATACATTGATGACGCAATCATCTACTCTGATGAATGGGAGGAACATCTCAAAACTATAAGAGCATTCTTCGACCGACTTAGTGATGCTAAATTGACAGTTAATCTTGCAAAAAGTGAATTTTGTCATGCAATTTTAACATTTTTAGGACATGTAGTGGGACAGGGTAAAGTTAAACCAATAGAAGCTAAGGTCAAAGCTATCTCTGAATTTCCTGTGCCTACTTGTAAAAGACAACTGATGCGATTTCTTGGTATGGCAGGGTATTATCGTAAATTTTGTAATAATTTTTCGGTTATTGCAGAACCATTGACAAATTTGCTAAAGAAAAGAAACAAATTCATTTGGAATGACAAGTGTCAAATGGCATTTGACAGCCTTAAAGCCATACTTAAGAGTGCACCAGTTCTCTTGGCACCAGATTTTAATAAAAACTTTAAGTTAGCTGTAGATGCTAGTGACATAGGTGCTGGAAGTGTATTGATCCAAGAAGACAACAATGGTGTTGACCATCCCGTTTGTTACTTTTCTAAAAAGTTTAATGAACATCAGAAAAATTACTCTACTATAGAGAAAGAGTGCCTTGCTCTTATTCTTGCTATTCAGCATTTTGAAGTTTATCTAACTTCTTCAAAGTTGCCTGTTGTTGTCTTTAGTGATCACAATCCCCTCACTTTCTTGCATAAACTTAAAAACAAAAATCAAAGGTTGTTGAGGTGGAGCTTGTTTTTGCAAGAATATAGTCTTGACATTAGACACATTAAAGGGAAAGATAATTTGATCCCTGATGCACTTTCACGTGTCTAAACTGTTATTTTCAGTATGTTAAATTTAACATCTATATATGATTGATTATTTTTGTTGTTGTTGTTTGCTATTGTTTATAATACACATATATATGAATGTATAAAATTGTTTAACATTTTTCCTATGTTATTCGTAAGTTACATTGTTTGGATTTATGTAAAAGAAATATTCATTTCATTCATATTTCTTTTTCTTGAAGAGGGGAAGTGTTATGTATGCAACATATTACATGTATATAATTTATATGTGACCAGTTGGTATTTCCAATATTAGCATTGTTCTATTTTTAGAACATGGACTACATGTATGTACTAGAACTTTCTTAAATGTTGTAGAAAATGCCAGATTATGATTCATGCATTATATTTAGATAGAAATTTCCGGAATGTTCTTTATTGTTGAAATTGCTAGATTATGAGAACAAAATAGACTTTTCTGGAATGTTCCTAGTTTATATATATATATATATTACGGGATATTTTTCATTTCTTTTACCTTTTAAGTCATCAGTGATCTTTTAAGTAATCAGTTACTTTTAAGTCATCAATATATTTGGAGTATTATTTAACTTGGATATTAAGTGAATTATTTGAGCTTAGATTTTAAAATAAATTATTCTTGTGGATTTTATTGTGGGAATTTATTCTAAAGTGTTCTTGGATTTAACTTGGATTTAACTGTGCTATTCAAAAAGGATCATTCCAGGATCAGACTAGAAATTTAAGATTTCATTTTAATTTGGACTTCAGGTATTTGTAAACATAATTTGTTATTTTATTTTTTCTTTAATATTTTTTCTGAAATAAATTTGTTATTGTTACAAGTTTGTTGCTGGCTTTTCTTTCTCGTTACGCCTGGCTCGTAACATTGGCCATTCACTAATGTTTCAGTTTTTCTCTATTTTAAGTAAATTTGTTGGAAAAGGTCTTTTAAAGTTATCACAGGAACAGTTTTTATGAACAGACAGACAGACGGACTGAAGGACACTCTAAAGTTAATATTTGAAACATCCCTGTTACCAAAATGTAACATTTTAAAAGCAAAATTCTTAAAGAGGAGATAACTCTTGAATTAAAGATGCAATTTCATAAAAAAAATGTCAGCTCTTTTTGACTTATCACAAACATTGTTGTATTTGCCATGTTTTAGGCCTATTTGTTGCCAAGGCAACTGATATTTTTTCAAAATAGGAAGAACAGATAAGACATGCATAATCTCAAGACTGCTATCTACCCATATGTCAAGTTTCATAAAAATATTTTCAGTACTTTTTGAGTTATCACTGGATTCAGTTTATGTGTAAAATTTGCCATATTTTCAGTCTATGTGTTGCCATAGCAACCAGAACTTTTAACATAGGAAGAAAAGAAAAAGACGTGCATAATTTTAAGACTGCCATCTACCTATATGTCAAGTTTCATTAAAATATTTCCAGTACTTTTTGCGTTATCACTGGATCCAGTTTATGTGTAAAATTTGCCATATTGTCAGCCTATTTGTTGCCATAGCAACCAGAATTTTCAACATAGGAAGAAAAGAAAAAGACGTGCATAATCTCAAGACTGCCATCTACCCATATGTCAAGTTTCATAAAAATATTTCCAGTACGTTTTGCGTTATCACTGGATCCAGTTTATGTGTAAAATTTGCCATATTTTCAGCCTATTTGTTGCCATAGCAACCAGAACTTTCAACATAGAAAGAAAAGAAAAAGACGTGCATAATCTCCATACTGCCATCTATCTATATACCAAGTTTCATAAAAATATTTTTATAACTTTTCAAGTTATCGCGGATCCTGTTTTGTGGACGGACGGACGGACTGACAGACGGAAGTTCTCACAGGACAGTAATTATGTGGCTACTCTATTCTTCTCTCTATTGTTCTTTTTAGCCACACAAAAGAAAATAGCCACATAAAAGCATTACGGAATGAATGACATCAAAGAGAAAGAACAGTTACCTATTGTCCCTCTAGCCACATAATTACTCTCCTGTAAGTGCGGACGGACAGACAGACGGACAGACGGACGGAGGGTAAACCTAGTCTCCTCCGGTAAACCGGTAGGAGACTAATGAACGTAAATATAAATTTTGTAAAAATATTCACTACATACCTTGTCCTCATAAGAAGTTGTAACAGAAATGATCTAAACACTGGGTTGGGATCTATTCCAGTGTCAAATATTGACAGATTTCTCGTGCGCTGCTGTTTGAACCTTGTTATGAAAAATATGTAACCAAGCAACTTGATTACAACATCATGTGAGGGGGCAGTGTTGCAAGCAAAGCATAACTGTGACACAACATCCATGAAGAAGGTGTTACACCTCTTTTGGTAGTCCTTCAGTTTATCTATTGCATTCCTGAATGAAAATATGGAAGAAAAATCGCATAGTATGCATTAAACATTTCTATCTATAGATATTTTGGATTCTCGTAGATGCTTTGCATTCTAGTTCATGTTATAAGTCAGTAATGAATTGAATATTATAACGTAACGGGAACCATTAATGGATTAGATTAGTTCTGGTCAAATATCATCTTTAATTTCATATTGTTATTAAGTTACATTTTCATTACTAATTAATTGATAAATTGTAACAATTGAAATACAATTACACATTTTAACCATCATTACTTTTGTGCAATTTGACGTTTTGGTTCCCAGTTCCCTGTAAATTCCCTGTGACATTTCCCACAAATGTTTTCACCCAATGCCTTCATTCCATCAAAACACTGGTCACATAATACATCTTTACATGGTAGTACAAAAGGCGGACCTTCAAGTACAGACTCACAGAGACAACATTTTACTTCTTCCCTGTGTAAGAATAATAAATTTATTATTAAATAGATTTATTAAGTTAAAACCTCTTTCTAAGTTTAGATCTTTACAAAGTAAACAATATTTTCTTTCTACTTAAATTAACATAAAAACTGATAAGTTAGTCTTAATAAATTATGTGATTATCTTATTAAGCTACATCACAAATATTTTTCATACAAATTATTACACTGGTTTAAAATGAATTTTACAATATTTACCCCATGTATTCTTTCATGGCCTGTTTATTACAACTTTTCAAGAACTTTTCAACACCTTCAAGCGATTTCACTTCCTTTAAATCTGTATCCTCTCCTAGAAGCTAAAACAGCAATAATATTTATACATGTGTTATGTAATAGATGGACTTTCTACATAGTAAATAAACAAAGACAGGAAAGAAATCACTAAATTAAAACACAAATTATGACAGTGTTTAACAATTATCAACAAAAGTATCAACAAAATTCTAATCAATCTACACTTACCTTCCATAGTGGCATACAGTATTTGATAGTAATCCTGTCTTCCTTCTCAGATGCACAGACATGTTCCAGAAATAACTTTACAACCATCACTCTACTCCATAGTCCTCTATAGTATTTATAGATAAGTTATTATCAGGTCAACGCTGGTCAGTAAAATAGTTCTACCACCCTATCTTATTCACAAAACTAAGGTAACAAAATCAAGCTAAACGGTGTACATGAAATTGTTTAAAGCAATCAAATTAAAATAGAACTGGTTTTTATTTTCATTAAATTCATTAAATTGATACAGTCGAATCAATTACCTTGCAAGTTACAATTAGACAGTTATCTTCTTAACCCTTTACCTCATATATACGCGAAACAACGCACTTTCGACCCCCCCTCTTTTAGGCCTCAAATAGCGAAAAAATGTCCTATTTGGCACCCAACACCTGTTTTCGTTTGAGAAATGTTGCTAAAAAAAGTGAGCACTTTTTCGGCGCCACCCCCTATCCAAAAGATACATGAGGGTGTGCCCCCTTCTGTTCGCCAAGAAAAGTTTGGACTTGTGAAAGGCTAAAAATGACCCCAGGTTGATCAGAAGGTAACGTGTAACCAACGCTGAAAAGCCTTTGACTCTATCTCAATCCCTTGAGAAGTTGCAGCACTTTGAAATAAATTTTGATGGAAATATCAAGGCAAAATAGTGATTTTTGGCAATTTTGAGATGTCCCCTCGTTGCCATGGTAACAGGAAATTTAAGACTAAGCATGTCGTTACAAAGGCAATGGTCCAGTCAACATTTGTGCCAAGTCTGATTAGTATTTAAGCATTTTTCAAAGTTTCATAGCAGTTTGAATTTGTAACAGGAGGCTTTTCAATGAAAACGGCCATTTTTCACAATATGCTCATAAGGGAAAGGGTTAAATGATGACAATGTCACATAGTAGTATGAAAGCGATATATGCATGATTTATACAGCTACACTCTAGATTTAAAATACAATGACGACATGAATTTATAAATACAAACATGTACAGGAATAAAGAAAAATACACATTTTGGACAAAAATCGCCAAATTTGAGAACTCAAATGTAAAGCATTAAATAAATTTAAATATTAAAGATACTAATGATGAGGAATGCTATCAAATGACAAAAAGAAATCTTTCGCTGCGTTGTGTAATATTCACATGAGAACGTACCTTGCCCTTCGTACTGACTGTACACTGTGAGCTCCATACTGCCCTTTATCCTCAGTTTGTAAACTGATCACCTTTTCTACAACAGGTCTGTAACGATGTACCCTTCTTAACCATTGTGAACGACCATAGTGACTGTTCAAGTCAGCACCTTTTGGTGACAGATTCTCTAACAACAAACATAGTGCAGAAAATGTCTGTAAAACAAAATAATATATGTCAACTGAATTTCAAGCACTTTATGAGATGTTTTTTATGTAAAAATGTTTTCAATGGACGACACAATAGGGGGTCACTATAACTCAACATAGGCAATTTGTGCTATAGTGAGCTAAAATAATAAAACATAGATAGACAAATAAATTGGAGAGTGTTGATCCTGATGACATTCTAATGAACTCATAATGAATTTTATATGATGAATGCACTGGAGTATGTTTGTTTGGTTACCCAGATGGTGCTCAGTCTTTGCTCAATACAATCACATTAAGCCAATTATCATTCCAAAACTGACATTTTCACGTTTCCCTATTCCCTTGTAAATTCAATAGACCTACTTCTGAGAATAAAACAATATCTAAATCTTCATGTTAGGAAAAAGTTCTTTAATGCATATATTCTTCCTCATTTAGACTATTGTTGCACTATTTGGGGAAATTGGAGTAAGGAACTATTAAACAACGTGTATAAATTTTAGAAACGGGCAGCTAGAATCATATTGGACAAATATTTTGATGCGCCCACTAATGATTATTTTTCCGAATTCAAACTAGAACTGCCACTATCATGGCGTGAATACCCCCGCATACCACTTTGTCAGAATCAACAGTGGCCATTAAAAGCTCAAGGACAACCTCCCTGTCAAATCTGAGGTTACTAAGCCAGTTATGTATTCTACATGCTTCAAATGTGAAAATGTCAAAAACAATACACTGCAGACAGGCATTCTTAAGCAATTGAGGGGAAAAGCTTTTTTTTGTCAAGGTCCCTGTGACCTTGACCTTTGACGCAGTGACCTCAAAATCAATAGGGGTCACCTTATGGTCATGATCAACATCTATGCCAAATAAGAAGACTGTGGGTCAAAGGTTTCTTAAGTTAATGGGTGGACAAACTTTTTAGTCAAGGCTCCTGTGCCCTTGACCTTTGACCCAGTGACCTAAAAATCAATAGGGGTCACCTATTAATCATGACTAACCTCCATGCCAAATATGAAGACTGTGGGTCAAAGGAATCTTAAGTTATTGGGCAGACAAACTTTTTGAAGTCAAAGTCCCTGTGACCTTGACCTTTGATCCAGTGACCTCAAAATCAAAACGGGTCATCTACTAATCATGACTAACCTCCATGCCAAATATGAAGACTGTGGGTCAAAGGAATCTTAAGTTATTGGGCGGACAAGCTTTTTGAAGTCAAGGCCCCTGTGACCTTGACCTTTGACCTGGTGACCTCAAAGTCAAAAGGGGTCATCTACTAATCGTGACTAACCTCCATGCCAAATATGAGGACTATGGGTCAACGCAATCTTAAGTTATTGGGCGGACAAGCTTTTTGAAGTCAATGCCCCTGTGACCTTGACCTTTCACCTGGTGACCTCAAAATCAATAGGGGTCATCTACTAATCTTGACTAACCTCCATGCCAAATATGAAGACTGTAGGTCAAAGGCATCTTAAGTTATTGGGCGGACAAATTTTTTGAAGTCAAGGCCCCTGTGACCTTGACCTTTGACCTGGTGACCTCAAAGTCAAAAGGGGTCATCTACTAATCATGCCTAACCTCCATACCAAATATGAAGACTGTGGGTCAAAGGAATCTTAAGTTATTGGGCGGACAAGCTTTTTAAAGTCAAAGCCCCTGTGACCTTGACCTTTGACCTGGTGACCTCAAAGTCAATAGGGGTTATCTACTCATCATGACTAACCTCAATGTCAAATATGAAGACTGTAGGTCAAAGGCATCTTAAGTTATTGGGCGGACAAGCTTTTTGAAGTCAAGGCCCCTTTGACCTTGACCTTTGACCTGGTGACCTCAAAATCAATAAGGGTCATCTACTAATCATGACTAATCTCAATGCCAAATATGAAGACTGTGGGTCAAAGGAATCTTAAGTTATTGGTCGGACAAGAAAAAACCGACGGACGGCTGGACGGACAAGCTGATTCCAGTATACCCCCCTGACAACTTTGTTGTGCGGGGGTATAAAAACTGGATGAAATTCTCTGACAGAGTGAATTATAAAAAACAGCTATTTTAGTATACAAGTCCCTAAACAATCTTCTCATGATTATATGCAAAATCTTATTACTTACTCAGAAAACATACAATTAAGATCATATTTACAAAAACAAATTCAAAACCCTATACCTAGAAGTTGAGTTTTGCAGAAAATCTTTATCAGATACTCAGGCTCAAAACGTTGAAATTCTCTTCCCATAGATATAAAAAATTTCCACAAATTTACAGACATTCGAAAATAATTATCTGAAATTGTCATTCTCTGGTGGAAATAAAACGCATCAAGTTGTATAATAAAATGATAAATGTATATCTTACTAACAATATCTATATTTTTATTATTTTTTTTTCTATAGCTTTTCATTTTACATGTTTTTTATCTATTTGTAAATATGTTTTTGTTTTTCATTCCTTTTGTATGTAAATGTTTATATTATGTACATTGTAATTTTGATATAGGCGCTCATAGGGAAGACTCAGAGCACGCCTAACTGTGTTGCATCTATAAGCAAGAGGGTCATGATGGCCCTAGATCGCTCACCTGACTTATCAAACTCATCCAAACAATTACCTAGACAAGCATTCTGACCAAGTTTGATGATAATTGAGTCGAAAATGTGATCACTAGAATGTTTACAAGGTTTTTCCATATTTGGGCGGTGTGACCTAGTTTTTCATCCAAGATGACCCATGTTCGAACTTGACTTAGAAATCATCTAAACAAACTTTCACACCAATTAACAGAATATTGATCACAACAGTAGCTACTAGAGTGTTAACAAGATTTTTCTATTTTTAGCTCCTGTGACCTAGTTTTTCATCCGAGATGACCCATGTTCTATTTATTCCCAGCAATGACCTAGACAAGTTTCCTGACCAAGTTTGATGACAATTGAGTCAAAATTGTGACCACTAGAGTGTTAACAAGGTTTTTCTATTTTTAGCTCCTGTGACCTAGTTTTTCATCCGAGATGACCCATGTTCGAACTCATCTGAGCTATCACCTAGACAAGCACTTTGATCAAGTTTGATGATGATTGATGCAAAAAATGTGACCGCTAGAGTGTTAACAAGGTTTTTTCTATTTTTAGCTCCGGTGACCTACTTTTTCATCCGAGATGACCCATGTTCGAACTCATCCGAGTATCACATAGACAAACATCCTGATCAAGTTTGATGATGATTGAGGCAAAATTGTGACCACTAGAGTGTTAACAAGGTTTTTCTATTTTTAGCTCCGGTGACCTAGTTTTTCATCCGAGATGACCCATGTTCGAACTCATCCGAGCTATCACCTAGACAAGCATCTTGACCAAGTTTGATGATGATTGATGCAAAAATGTGACCGCTAGAGTGTTAACAAGGTTTTTCTATTTTTAGCTCCGGTGACTTACTTTTTCATCCGAGATGACCCATGTTCGAACTCATCCGAGCTATCAACTAGATTTGCATCCTGACCAAGTTTGATGATGATTGAGGCAAAACTGTGACTGCTAGAGTGTTAACAAGATTTTTCTATTTTTAGCTCCGGTGACTTAGTTTTTCATCCGAGATGACCTATGTTCGAACTCATCCGAGCTATCAACTAGATAAGCATCCTGACCAAGTTTGATGATGATTGATGCAAAAATGTGACCGCTAGAGTGTAAACAAGGTTTTTTCTATTTTTAGCTCCGGTGACCTACTTTTTCATCCGAGATGAGACCCATGTTCAAACTCATCCGAGCTATCACCTAGACAAACACTTGATCAAGTTTGATGATGATTGATGCAAAAATGTGACCGCTAAACTGTTAACAAGGTTTTTCTATTTTTTAGCTCCGGTGACCTAGTTTCTCATCCGAGATGACCCATGTTCGAACTCATCTGAGTTATCACATAGACAAACATCCTGATCAAGTTTGATGATGATTGAGGCAAAAATGCGACCGCTAGAGTGTTAACAACTAAATAAGAACGGACGACGGCCGACGGACGGACGACGGACAATCATCGATCCTAAAAGCTCACCCTGAGCATGCTCAGGTGAGCTAAAAAGTCTTTATTATTTCTATGACTATTATTATAATAGACATCTTGTATGATTTTTCAATATCTTATTATATTTTAATTGGCAACGTCAGTGACTCAGCTTCGTCTCTTATGGAACACCATTTTTATCGCACATGGTAGGACTTTTATTATTAACAGTGTGTCTTGTTGTGTTTTCCTATTCATTCTTGATAAATCAAGTAATCAAATATGTTGTTATATTTGTACTTAATAACTTTATTTAAAAAAGCATGTGCATTTTGTATTCATTTTTATGAAATGATGGGTCTCGTTTAACCGCTTACTCTCGCTTTATTGGTAATACAAAAAGCCGGACTCTTAA